AAAAAAAAAACGAAAACTCTCGTTATTTATTCATAGTAGTTATTACAGCAGTGTAGGCAAAAAACGTTCTTAATGAATACTCGTAGCTTCGATTTTTCTCGAAATATTACTTACTTACTTACTTACTTAAAAAGAAAAATACAAAATAAAAAACGAAAAAAAAAAGAAAAAATAAAAGTAAATAAATAAATAAAGGAGAGACGAGGTGCTTTTTTATGCGAACATATGAGACTTTAAAAGACAGATGATACTACGCGAATTCGAAATCGAAATCGAACTAAGTACGCGTGTTTCTGTTTGAAAGTCCAAGCTCGCTTATCATCCTCGTGTTATCGACTTTTCTCTCTCTCTCTCTCTATCTCTATCTCTATTTCTCTATCTCTCTCTATCTCTCTTTCTTAAAAATCTCTTACGTAATAAAAGAAAATAATAATGCACTTTGTAGGGACGAAAATGTGTTCGCTCGCAGAGGTATATCGAAATAAAAAAAATGAGAGCATAATAAAATATAATGAGCCTTTCCAAAACTCGAAGCTTCTCACTCCGTTGGGATCTGACGTGTTTGATTATTGAAAAATAAAAAACGAGGTAGAGAAGAAGTGACAATGATAACCACATCGTCCAGCCTGTGCGGATCGGACAGGTATAATAATAAAAAAAATAAATAAATAAATAAAAAATAAAGAAAAAAAAAAGTAAAACAAATTTGAGAGATTACGACACCGATTATAATTGAAAAAAAAAAAATAAATAAAAAAGTTTCTACTTACGTAGTTACGTCTAGAGATACATAATATACTTACGTATTGTGTATAGTGTCTAAAAAAAAAAAAGAAAAAAGAGAAATCGCTGAATTCGTAGCTGCGAGGCTGGATTTGTACGAGGAATGTATGAAAATAGGTAGTTGATTACGCGCGTGAATATTTGACGTGAATTTGGGTCACGTTTAGAGCATATTTGATGCACACTTGTTCACACATCCACAGGGATCGTTTCTTTAACATACAAGAAGGAACGTGTAGCGTGTAACCATCTACGAGCTTAGGAAGCGGCGATCATCAAACCGAACTTATGTTGACAAGTCGAAAGAGAGGACTCGTCAATCTAAAAAAAATAACAACGGAGTAATCATTTCTTTATCGTCCACGATTCTCCGAGCAAACTAAATTATTCCAAGTTTGTCATTCCTTTTTTTTTGTTTAATCCTTAATCCTTTGATTCAGTTCATCTTAAAAAACTACTTCAGTGTATCGAGTCATTCATCGAAATATCTTTCAATGCTTTATATCTAATACGAATATTATCAAAGGTCCTGTTTTTTTATTGTTTCTAATTAAGATTCCACACTTTACCTTTTTAAAAGACTAAACTGTCATAGAACGTTTCCGCAAATACGTGCAAATATTACTTACCCTTTCCCTTCGTTCCGTTTACCTATACTCAAAAACGTCATTCAAAATAAAGAGATCAAATTTGAAGAAGGTAGACAAATAAAAATAGACAGGAGATAATTAACAAAGAGAGTTGACGAAGTAGTCAGCACAGTTGACAATAAGACTTGACAATTTAGTATATTAATGGTGTTTAAAATATTAACATATTAAAATAAGAAAGTGCACTGGTCAATCAATCTCGTGAACAAAAAAATATTCAAACTTTTCATCTGTAAATTTGATAAATTAATTGACCCAATTGCATACATGTTGATATTCTTTTATGAATTTGTTAAATTAAGAGTGCACTTTTATAGATTCCAATATGTTAATATTTTCAAGTTATACACTATTAATAGTCTTATTTTAAATTGGACGTGGACTACTTCGTAAAGTTTTTTAATAAAAGCGAAAGATGGACCAACGATCTCACAAAACACCATCATTCCTATCCTTTCCAAATACGTCACTCTATTTTCTTCGCCGCCTAACTAACTGCGTACTAATTAGAATAAAAGTAAGAAAGAAAGAAAGAAAGAAAGAAAGAAAAGATAGGGCCGACAGAAACCGCCGATTCGATGAAGGGAAATAAGATCGACAAGAGTATTACAAAATAATTTAAAGGGAAGTGAATTTTTAATAGGAGTTTTTTTTTTTCTCGTCGATATCGAACAGCTTCAAACTTTTTCCTCCTTCTCTCCGCTTGGATTAAATATCTCGTATAAGCTTAAAAGAAAAAAAAAAATATCTCGTACATTCTGTGATAATTGTCCCTTAATTAATGCGTACACGTTTATTACGCGTGTATATCTAAAATACATTCCTTCAACACACTCGTAACACATGCATACCAAACTCACCATCCCTCTCCACTAAGAGATCTCTCTACAAACACACACACACACACATATATACACACACATACATACACATGTATACGCACGAACACACGTAGAAGAAGGAAGAAAAAAAAAACATAAGGATACACGCAACCCACAGCTCTATTCTCCAATAATAGTTGCAATATTTTTCTCTTTTTAAACAAACAAACAAAAAAAAGAAAAGAAAAGAAAAGAAAAAAAAAATCATTCCGAGCAGATTTATACAATCTCTGTAATCATCGTTTAACTTTCTTAAAATAGTCTCGAGTCAAATTGATAATGCATTAAAAAAAAAAAATCGCAATAATCGAACGTAGCCTCCGATTTAAATTCACCGTTAAAAAAACAGGGACCGTGATTAATGAAAACAAAAAAAAGTTCATGAAATGAATGCAAGTACGAATACAAATTCGAATTATAAGGAATACGAGTAAGATGATGACGGCACACCGATTTCAATCTTGGAACACAAAAGTCGAATATTTTTTTTGCGTTTCATCGATGCAATTAACGTCTTTCTATTTTATAAAAAAAAAAAAAAAGGAAAAATGAAAAATTAGGGACTATTATTATATTTAGTCTTTAATTCTGACTTGTTGTTTTTTTTTTTTTTTCACGGTTTTTCCTAT